TTAAAGAAAATATACAACTAGCATCATAGTAATTACATTATGTGTTAAAGAAAATATACAACTAGCATCATAGTAATTACATTATGTGTTAAAGAAAATATACAACTAGCATCATAGTAATTACATTATGTGTTAAAGAAAATATACAACTAGCATCATAGTAATTACATTATGTGTTAAAGAAAATATACAACTAGCATCATAGTAATTACATTATGTGTTAAAGAAAATATACAACTGCATCATAGTAATTACACTATGTGTTAAAGAAAATATACAACTAGCATCATAGTAATTACATTATGTGTTAAAGAAAATATACAACTAGCATCATAGTAATTACATTATGTGTTAAAGAAAATATACAACTGCATCATAGTAATTACATTATGTGTTAAAGAAAATATACAACTGCATCATAGTAATTACATTATGTGTTAAAGAAAATATACAACTAGCATCATAGTAATTACACTATGTGTTAGAGAAAATATACAACTAGCATCATAGTAATTACACTATGTGTTAAAGAAAATATACAACTGCATCATAGTAATTACATTATGTGTTAAAGAAAATATACAACTAGCATCATAGTAATTACATTATGTGTTAAAGAAAATATACAACTGACACATCAGAGTATTGTTATTGAGGTCTGAAGTAGAAAAGCAATCTGATGCTAAAGAGGTTGTGCTGGTGGTGACCAGAATGTCAAAACAGGGTGTCTTGCTGTAAGATCAAACAATGTGGCCAGTACAAAGTTTGTTTTTTTTTAATATTAAAAAAAGATGTGAGAATACTTTTTAAAGTATCTTGATATTTATGGCACCATTATTATCAGGAATCTGTGCTCTGAAAATAAGGAAAGAGTATTTATATGAATGCACCAATTGCTGCAATGTCACTTGTAAACTCTTAACTTTGTCTTATAATTTATGTGCATGAGAGAGAGAGAGGGGGGGAGGGAGGGAGGGAGAGAGAGACAGAGAGAGAAGATGGCAGGGAAAATGATGGGTCAGCTTTTAGACACAGTCATTTGGATTATATTATTATATTTGTGCTGTCTTATAATTAATTTTTCTTGCATACAAATATAAATGTCCTTCCCGCCGCCCCCTCCCCCCCCCCCCCCCCAGTACTTAGAAAAAAAAAAGAATAAATCTGTATCATGAAGTTACCATCACCCTTGTTTTATACTAACAAAAACATGTATGTCATATCTTGCCAACAGTGTCCTGCTGGGCTCAGTTCTACAAGATTTTCAGATTAACAACTATCAGATTTTAGCTCAAAAAGGAAAGTCAAGTGTGATCACCAGTTATCTTGCACGTGAGTTATACATATTGATGTCTGCTAAGTTCAGGAATTCACGTTAATGATTGATTCTCAGTGTAACTGAGTTCTATCTTATGGTAACTGGAAAATATCTGCCAAGTTAGCATATAATTTCCTCACGCATTTGTTAGTTTGTTGTTGTTTAACCACACCAGGACCATACAACAAGCAACCAACACCCGGTGACACAAAGTGCCACCATTCAGATGAGGATCACATGTCACAGAAGCCCTGTTTCAACAATTAGGTTATATTAGTGCCCCCAACTACAGCCGGGGTGGTCCTTAAAATAATGAAAAATTACATCCCACATTTGGAACAGTGTGTTCGTACACAGGCATTGACTGACTTTTTATCCCGCTAGGAGCGATAAACACCAAGAAACACAAAGTGCCACCATGCAGATGAGGATCACCAGTGGAGAGGTCCGAGAAACCGCTTTCAACCGTTAGGTTATATTACAGCCCCCAGCTGGAGCCAGGGTGGGGCTGCAACAATATAGACAGGCATTTGTTTTGAGATTATTTATTTAATTTTTTTTCCCATGTCTTTAGTGATTCTGATAACTAATATTTGTTAGTAATTAGTCATTTATTAGTTCACCAATCTATATTTTGTTTTACACCCACCCCCAAAGCAACTAAATTATATCATCCCTTGTTGTCTTAGAAATGAAAGATCTCAATGCGACCTACAGCCTTTACTTTGAGAACACACCATCAGGAGTCATGAAGAGAAGTGGCATGAGTGTCGACCTTCAAGGAAAGACAATTAAACAGCCATTAATAAAGGTAGAAGTAATTCTGTATTTTTTTGTAAACTGTTGTATATTTATACAGCTCTGGATATTTTCTCCAGGTATGCTGGAGAAAGAACTACAGGAAATGATAGACATTGTGTTGTTAGAAAGTGGAAGAATGGGCCTCAGTTTGAATAATGGGAAGAAAGAAGTAATGGTGGTATCAAAGAAATTAATTATTCCTAAATGTGTAATAAAAGTCGATGTTGTTATTTTAGGACAAGTACAGAAATGTAAGAATCTTGGCACATGGATAACATCAGATGGAAGATGCATAACAGAGATAAGAAACAGAATATGACAGGCAAAAACTGCATTTTTTAAAATGAAGAACATCTTGTGCGATATATCCTTGTCATTGAGAGTTAGAAAAAGAATTCTTGCTTGCTACATACATCCACAACGACCACCATCTGTCAGAAACAAATAATTTGCCAGGACTAAAAACAGTGACCATGCCTAACATATATTTTGGCCGGAAGCTTTGTAGAAATATGGGGGGGTCTGTTAAATATTTATCTTCATTTTCTATTTGGTTCCATTTTTTCCCAGTTTGGCATCTATGCTGATGGTCTGGAATCACTCGTAGGAGAAGCAGAAGGCAGTAACGAGGAGGCAGCTGCTGATGCCCCAACTATAGAACCAACAGCAGGAATGTCCTTCACATTCATGGATGTCCTCTTGACTCAGGTGGAGTTTTTCCGTGGAATGTCAGGCCTGATGTCTGCTGCATGGAATGCTCCTTCAGAACTGACATCTGCTCTACAGGTTTGTTGTAGGATTTGTGTTGTATATTCTGCTTGCATAGTTGATTCATTGATGAATTTAGTAGAATCAGTGTCATTGTGGTTGGGGCATACCCATAAGTGTTCAGTCTCTCCCAGGTAATGTTGGAGGGCATGTAAGCTGATTTTTTCTGTCCTGTGCCCTTTATTCTCTGTTGGAGCCATGCCTTTTTATTTTTTTCTGCCTTATGTGGTCCTCTGTGTGCCATTTCCATTTTATTCACCCCTCTCTCAAATTGTGTCTATATGTATTTTAAGTCTTCTATTTCTTTTGCCCTGTGAGTTTTAGAGAAAGTACTTTCTAGTTATATTATTTTTCTCGTTGTGTCCCTTCCAATGCTAGTGTATTTTCCCCCATCATCTCTTGATTAACTAGAATCAGTCTTGTTCCCTCCATAAGCTCCACATTCATGCTTCTGGCAAATGCTTCTGAGAAATCTTTCTTTACATTTGAGCTGAGAATAGTCTATTTTCCTCCCTAAAGACTACAGAATCTCTATACTAGGTATAATTTCACCACTGTTTTTTTTATCATTGTGTTTTTTTTAAATCAAAATTTTATTTTTTCATTACTATGTTTTTCACCATTCTGTTTTTCACCACTGTATTTATTGCTGTCATGTTTTTCACCACTGTTTGTTTTCACTGTTGTGTTTTTCTCCACTGTTTTTTTTTTTTTCACCATTGTGTTTTTCACCACTGTTTTTTTTTTTTCCACCATTGTGTTTTTCACCATTGTGTTGACCACTGCATTTTTCACCTTTGTGTTCTCTGTAGTGACCTGTTCTCAATATTTGAATCTGGGAATCCCCAACCCGACCTTTAGCCACAAAGTTAGACACATATGCTTAAATAATGACATCATTATCTCCAGAGTGATGTTCTGTCAGTTGTCCCCATTTCTATATCCCTTCTCCCATGGCACATCTCTCAGTATTCTCTGCCAATAGTAAGGAGAACAATACAATCATTAGATTTCCCATTGCTCACATTGATTCCTTAATCATGGTTGTACAGTGTCTCCCTGAGAATAAAGCCTAACCCAGGAATAGACCATAGTTAGCATCATAAGCTAGAATAATCTATATATATACATAAGTGCTATCCCAATATGGGACGCAGATTTTTGTTGTTTTAATACCCCAGCCCAGCTGTGGCTGGGAGGCCTGATATAACCTAAAGGTTCAACGGGGTTTTGGGGACATGTCCCTTGGTGATCCTCATCCAAATGGTGGCACCTTGTGTTTATCTCCGGTGGAGTTGAATGTCAGTCAATCAGCTAGAATGCGGAACTTGGGCCACTGATTTTACAGTAAATGAAGTCGCAAGAAATTCAGGCTGAAATTTTGGATTTATAGAGTTTTAGTGATGTTCTAAAAGGAGATGATATGACTGTATTTGAATAAAGTACATTGTTGTATCTGGGGGGGGGGGGGGGTAGAGACATCCCCAAAAATAAGTACTAGTGCTTTTTGTTAAACAAAATAATATAAAATATTAACACAAGACCCTGTCTTACTTTTGGGGAAACACTATATTATAGTCAAGTTATTATGTACTATCAAGGAGTCACAGAAGCATGTATGCCAAGATGCAGATTGACAGCTATTGTTAATTTCAGTTATTAAAATGACCTTCACAACTTGCAGGGGAACCTACTCCTCCAGGACCACTCTCAGAGAATTCATTTGTCCAATGGCTTGATATTGGACACAAAAGTCTTGGGAGTGCTGTCCCTGGATCTGTCAGGTTACATCAGCATCAGTCTGTGGAACAGGAACTGCGAGGCTCTCATAAGGAACAGGTTAAATGTAGCTTTATTTCTTCTTTGTCTTTCTCCTCCTCCGCCTTCTTCTTCCTCCTCCTCCTTCCTGTTCTTCTGTATCTTCTTCTGCTTTTTCTTCTGCTCCTCTTCCTCCTCCTTGTTCTTCTTCCTCCTTCCTTCTGCTTTCTTCTTTTTCTTCTTCTTTTTGAGCCCTTGAGATTCATTGCTGCAGATATATGCCTCCATTTCTCTCTGTGATTGGCCTTCTCCTTTCATTCTCTGACATCCTAGTTTTATAAGACTACTTGTATATTATCTCTCCACCATCTTTTTTTGGTCTGCCTTGTAGTCTACTTCTTTTCACCTCTTTTATATAGGTAGTTTTTATTTCTGTTCTCTGTTCTTATATGCCCCTACATTTGCTTTTTTTTTTTTTTTTTTTTTTAAATAAGTAAACCATGGTATCTTTTTCTTACCTCTGATGCATCAGGCATATGGTGCCAGTCTTATAGTTTTATGGACCAGTTTTACGGACCAGCCGGTACTCAGTGGGTGATGTAATTAATCAACACCACATTGCCATTTTTCTTCTTTTCATAGTCTGTGCCATGTGGCATTGGTAGTCATGTCTATCCACAACCTCCTGTCTCATTTACTTTCAGTATCTTCTGACACAGATAATCTTCTGTGCTATTATGACAAACTGTCTAGCATCTTCTTTCTCCCTCTCTCTCCCTCTTTCTCTCTCTCTCTCTTTTTCTTTCTCTCTCTCTCTCTCTCTCTCTCTCTCTCCACCTCTCTCTCCATATGACTATTTTACAACCACTCCACATCTCCAGCCTTCTTTTTCACAACTCCCCCCCCCCCCCCCACCCCCACCCACCCTCGTACGCGCTAGTGCACGCATGCACGTGCACACACACACATATATGCCATTTCAGGCAGTTGATGTTAGTTACTCTGGCTGTCCATAGTATTTTGATTCAAGGCCCAGTGGAAATAAAAACACATACACATGGCTAATTTCTCAATATCTCATTTCCTCAGTGGAGCCTTTTACTTGGAAGGCTCACTAAGGGTGGACTCTGAAGAACTGGATGTGGGTCTTGTGTTTACTGGAGAAGGGGAGAGCAACATTGATTACACTTCCAACGCAGAGTTTGCTAGCATGCCCCTCAGGTTGTGTATGCAGATGAAGAGACCAGATTTTGAGTTTGTGTGAGTTTTGTGGTGTTTTCGAAAAGCAGATTATATTTATAATATAAACATTAGGAGTATTTATTTGAAACCCAGTCATACCATACCACAGGTAATCAAGTAAATTGAACATGATTATGTCATAAGTACTTGCCAATGATTGAAAGAGCATGCGCTTATAACATCCCATGATGTTTACCTTCCGTTTCTTACTGTTGAGAAAACGACCGGGTTGATACCACATTGTCCAGAGATGCTGAAAGATTGGGGATTCTGTTTCTTTCATTTCAAAGATGACAGCCAGTGGACATTCTTGGAATGATGCAATCAGCATGCAGTAACAAATGTGTGTTGAAGACAATAGGGACTGACTGGACACAAATGTTTTGGAAAGGATGTGAATTCACAACAGATCTTCCGCAGCCGGGTAAAGCGTATATTGTTTCAAAGATGACAGCCAGTGGACATTCTTGGAATGATGCAATCAGCATGCAGTAACAAATGTGTGTTGAAGACAATAGGGACTGACTGGACACAAATGTTTTGGAAAGGATGTGAATTCACAACAGATCTTCCGCAGCCGGGTAAAGCGTATATTGTTGCAACATCGAAAAAAGCCATATTCAAAATTGATGCAGCAATACTGGTAAATCTTTGTCAAAGCATGCTTTTGCTAGCACAAGAGTTCAGTGTGTAAATGGGAACAGTTCCGAAGGTTGTTCATAAGAAATGACCTGCCTTTATTTCCCAGGACTTTACCTGATACCTAAATAAAGCTGGGAGCCAGGGTCATTTTTGACAAAAATTTGGCTCCGTCGGGACCTAAACCCACAACCTACCGATCTGCAGGCGAGCATCTAGCCACTACACCATGTTGGCTCCTATTAATACACAGGAGCTATTATATTAATTATTGTGGCCGCTATTTTTTATGATTATTGTGGTAGCTATTTATATTGATTATTGTGGCCGCTTTTTTTATTGATTATTGTGGTAGCTATTTATATTGCTTATTGTGGCCGCTATATTTTTTTACTATTTATATTGATTATTGTGGTAGCTACTTATATTGAATTTTGTGGTTGCTTTTTTTATTGATTATTGTGGCCTCTATTTTTATTGACTATTGTGGTAGCTATTTATATTGCTTATTGTGGCCGCTATATTTTTTTATGATTATTGTGGTAGCTATTTATATTGATTATTGTGGCCGATATTTTTTATTGATTATTGTGGTAGCTACTTATATTGAATTTTGTGGTTGCTTTTTTTATTGATTATTGTGGCCTCTATTTTTATTGACTATTGTGATGGCTATTTATATTGATTATTATGGCCGCAATTTTTATTGATTATTCTGGCAGCTATTATATTGATTATTGTGGCTGCTATTTGTTTTAATTATTGTAGCAACAATTTTTATTGATTATTGTAACCCACCATCAGTACCTTGCTGGTCTGTTCACAGTCACAAAGTAGAGAAATATGAAGAGTTAGTGGAAGGAAGGAGGTACAGATCTCACAGACAAGTCCGGAGTAGAGTGGCAGGGGAGGAGTACCTCTTGAACAAAGCCAATTCTGATGAATGCCGAATCATGCTAAATGAGGGTCAATAAAGTATGAACACACATTGATGCTGTATCTTACTGTTTTAAGATGGTAAGTATAAGTGAAGACTTTTTTCTTTTTTGTCTTTTTGCCTTGATGTTTATTTGGTATATTGTGCTAGCTCCATATTTTTCCTCATGGGGGTTCCAGACCTCGTGGTGTGGGTGTTGGGTGGGGGAGGGTTTTGGGTTTGACCCACTACTCTCCTTAATAGTATGTTGTAAAACTTGACTAATAAGAGGTTGTTTCCTTCTAAGACAAGGGGGCTGCATGGTGCTAGAGTTTAATCCCCGGTAAGGGCTGGGATTTTTACGTGGACTAGGACTTCTAGTAATTCGCCCTGGTCTCTGGGTAGTGAGATCAGATACCCGTGTGCATTGTTGCGCACGTAAAAAAATCACTTTGCAGTTGGAAATCGAAAAGAGTAGCCTAACGGTGATGCCTGGGCAAAAATTTGGAGCTAAAAATCTCCCCAAAGAATTTCAGAATCCTCGCCGGTGCCACAGAGCGTGTGCACTGTGCTGAGCTTCTTCAGACTCAGACTTGAGTTAGAAGAAGAATGGAGCACTTATGGGCTACTACCCGTATGCCATGATGTTGATCCATTGTTCAAATCTCAAACCTTAAGTCAGAGTGCAGTAGGAAAGAATAGTTTTAGGATGATATAACATTTAAAGTTGAACTTTACAGACAGTGGAAGTAATATATCATCTTGATATGAGAGACTTTAGAGAAGTAGCAGGAGATATTTAACACTAGGCATATTTACAGCTCCTTATACATGTGAATTTTTCTGTTCCTTTATTTTATTGTGATTAGATCTTGTTTTGTCTGCACTTGGTGAAAGCTGACAGGACTCCAAATTGCTAGCATACCTGCAGTTTTCATAATTTCTTCCTCGTTATCTATCCCACAAACTGTTTGTCTGCTAAATGTTGCAATAATTAAAATGCAGTCTGCCTGTGAGGGGGAGTCACACTGGTGTAGCAGCTAGATGCTTGCCTGCGGACTGGAAGGTTGTGGGTTCGGTCCTGGTGGTGCCAAATTTTGTTTCAAAAATGACATCAACTCCCAGGTCGACCCAACCTTGAGTGGTTACCAAGTGTAGTCCAGGGAAGTAAAGATGGCCGGCATGGTGCTGACCATGTTACCCACCAGTTGACGATTGGTCTATAAAATATAGGTCTAATCCTATATGCCTAATGCGCCTAAAGGCATGGGAAAGGGTCCATTACTTTACTTACTGTCTGTGAGGGATGCAGAAGTGCTGAACCACATGTGGTGGTGCATGAGGACCAGGCCAATTTAGATGGGATCAGTGTTTCCTTTGGAGTCAAAGTGCATCTGCCTGAGAGGCAAGGAACCAACAGTCTGCACTCAAATAAGCCAGATCTGTAAAATGAATGTACACCCCCCCCACCCCCCCCCCCCCCCCCCCCCCCCCCACCCCAAAAAAAAACATCAAACCCTGGGAGAAGACTAAAGTTCAGAAGTAGAAGAACAATTAGGACTTTCCACAGATTTTACAGCCAATGAAGAAGAAGAAGAATCTGTCTGTGCTACTGATATTAAAGATATACATTTTCTCTTACTTTCAGAACTTGCAGGATATAATTTGAGGCTGCAGCCAGGCATTGCAAAATTGATATACTCAAAAAATGTAGCAACAAGCAGCAATCCAAAAATGGTTGATTGTTTTGTTATTTATTTTTGTTAAGGAAGTTAATGTACTGCATTTTTGTAATTTAAAAAATGTGTTACAGTGCTGTAATTTTGTTGTTTGCTGCATAGTTCTTTCTCTGCGACTGGAACAGATTGAAAAAACATAAAGTATGTGTCAGCTTTATGGGTCCAATTATTTTCCAAAGTTCAGCAAAACAATGAGAAATAATGCATATACTCTTCATGTTTTTTTCAATCTTGTCTAGATTTTCAAAGCTATCACCATTATTTCGTACATGTTTCTCTATGACTGGTGCAGTCATATCTAAATATTTTCCTTCTTTAGTAATCTTATTTTTGTTTATGTATCATTTTCTTTAGAAAAGAAAGTAAAGGATCTTTGTCACATCCTAGGCTGCTAGGTCTATATTTATATGGCCCAGCATGGCACTCGACAGACAGGTGATGCTGTCATCATTCATTACACCATCTATCTTTACTTCTCAGAGAATTTTCTGGTGCCTACCATAATTACGTATGTATAGGCCACACCCAGTTTCTCAGATGATAATTTTCACAAACACACACACACACACAATTTATGATTTCATTAACTCTTTGAGTCCCAAAGAACGCATCATACATTTATAGGTTACTGCATAAAAGCCCAATGAACGCATGATGCACTGATTTTACGTCCCTCTTGACTACCCCTTGGGCCTGTGATGCTAAACCCTCTGGGACTAAAAGAGTTAAGAGACTAAAACCGAAAACAGCAGTATCTGTAAGCAGTGAAAGATGGGAATTCTGCAGAAGGAATTTAAAGCCAGTTAAAGCTGAGCAAGGGGCATTACTGCACAAAATGACTTTGTGATTTTGCGGCGAAGAACAGCGGCATGACCTCCCCTACACCTGCCAGGAGACACTGCGTTTCAAAGACATGTTCTGAAGTTATAAAAGACACGCAACTACAGTTTGGGGCAACTGGAAATACAGATGAAACTCCTGTATTCTTGTATATGCCAGATGAAACAACAGTAAACAAACCTGGTGATAAAACAGTGCAGCTGTGAACTTCGGAAGCAGAAAAACCACTAGGAATTGCTGCTGACAGATACAGACCTTACTTATTTTTAAGCGTTAATCCAAGCCCAAGGAGAAGCTACCGCCTGGAGTATTTGTGTGAGTGCAAAAGAAGGGATGGATGACTGAAGAATTGTTGTATTGTTTATTGTAATTTTTGTACAAATGACATGTACTTGTAATATCTCAACTGCAAGCCACAACCTATTTTTCATGAACGATTTTCAGTTAAAATACTGCGTAAATACGGTATTTTAGGCTGGACCAACCTGGAAGCCCTGTGTGAACTATCAAAATGTGCCTGGATGTGAATTCGAACTCAAGACCTTTGAGCTAGCAGGCAAGCATCTAGCCATTGCACTTCTGCAACTCCTGTTATCATTCTTACCTCGATTTTAAAAGATGTGTATGGATAGTTAGTATTTCACTGCCAGTTATGTTCAACTTTACTAGCATTCAAATGACTATTATTTTCTGTCTCATGTTGAGTGTCATGCTGAAAACTTACATCACAGCACTCGGGACATTCCTATATGTACTCCATCCTCATCTTCAGCAGCCAATGAATACTTCCAATTCTGATGGCACCAGTAGCAGTTTGACTCCGCCCTGCCTGTCTTTTGAGTGTAGAGTATCAGCCAGATTCCTCTGGTCACTCCTAACTGTAACATTCTCTCCAGACTATAATGATCTAATCGTGCCTCCACATTGTTCATTTGTTCCCTAAGGGCCTTGACCACATCTAGCCTGTCATGCATAAACTCACCTCCCCTTGGTGCAGAACCAGCCAGTCTGTCTGCCTGTTCATATCTAAACACTCTAGCATACCCTTGAGAGAATATCAAAAGAACACTAACTACCCGGAACCTTTGAAGCAATGCTTGCCACTCTGCACATAGAGTGCCTGTCTTTATCTTTCATATGCTTGGTAAGTCACTTACAATCATGACAGCTAGTCTTCGAATCAGTTGATAGCTGCTGGGGCTGCTATCACTCTGTTACTGTTTATAGGTATATTATCCTGATATAGGTTTTCTGACAGAAGGATTGAAGAAGAAGAAGAATATCAAAAGAAGTCACTCTGTTACCGCTGTATCTGTATAACGTATAACATTGCTCTGTACAGTGCCCTGTCTGATGCCAATCTTGTTACATGTTACTGTATTAAATATTAAACTTTAACATTTTGGAAACGCTTAAAAACTGTTTTTGATTAAAGTATGTATCCGCAGTTTCAAATCAGTCAGATTCTTTAGCTAGTTTTGTGGCCTTAATAACTCCCCCCCCCCCCCCCCCCCCCTTCCCAGTGCTCCTTGAAGTACATCCTTGCAATCGAATCATGTCTCACTACGTGCCCAAACCTAGCTAGCTTGCGATGTTTTACCACTGCCAAGAGAGGCTCTTGATGTCCCGTAAATTTGTATATTTTGTCTCTGACATATTTATTAGTTTTGTGTTCTAAATAACTAATTAGTAAAATGTGCCTGTCAGTTTCTTTGCATCTGGCTTATTGATAATTTTTAGGCATACAGGCTTTTCCATCAACAAATGAAAACATGCCATTGAAAAAATATACATCTTTTTTAAATCAGTATATTTGTATCGGTATCTAGAACAGAATAGTGGTCACTTTGAGTAGAGATGATGGACCATAAATCTTACATACAAGACTCTCCCATATAAGTTATAAATCTTGGATTACCTCAGTTTTAAACATGAATTATTCATAGTGTATACATATTTTAGAGGTGTCCTTTTTTTTTTTTTTTTTGTAAAACTGAAAAATTGTTGAGTGCGCAATTGTCTGTGCAATTGTTTGCTGACCGATGAGTGAGTTGGCATATCTATATATATATACCATTTATATTTTGTTTCAATCAAGCATGGCTTATGATGTCTTTGTTACATGATAATTAACTATTTCATCTGTATGCAACAGTTGTGCCTTGTTAAGTGAAACCTTATACCGAATAAATTTTTTCTGTTGGACCTATCATGATTTATATTTATTCTTATTTATTCCTCATTTGGTGTGGTATCTTCTGTTGTTTAAATACAAGAGGATTCAAATGAAAACCTTAATGTCACACAGCTGTCTGGTTTCAGTAGGCAGTATTATATTTAGTGATTTGCCATAAAACTGGATGATACAGAGTATGGAATATTGTCTATATCCAAAGTTATGTTCTTTCTTCTGCTTCTCAAGTCATCAGCAATTACTAAGCAATTATCCTCGCATAAATGGTGAACAGGACAATGCACC